CATCTTTCCTAGATTTAATATTACAGTGACTGAACGGTGTCTTTAGAAGATCTTTTACAGTGACTGAACGGCGTGTCTACGACATCTGTCCTAACTTTAGTATTACAGTGATTGGGCGTGTCTACGACATCTGTCCTAACTTTAGTATTACAATGATTGAACGGTGTCTTTAGAAGATCTTTCGTAAGCAATATAATACAGCGCTTTTACGTCGTCTTTAGGTCTTCCTGTCAAAGTTTGGTTACCTGCCTCAGACAGACCTTGCGTCCAGAGAACTCCGAAATGAAACGCAACTCCGGGACGCCATCAGGCAGATGCAACGATTTGCAGGTATCAAAGAAACGGGTGAACTGGATGAAGGAACAATAGCTCTAATGAAACGAAGACGTTGTGGAATGCCCGACCTGATTGGCTCGTCGGAAAGGATTAAACGTTACGCCATACAAGGACAGAAGTGGAGTAAGAACTTACTGACCTGGAGGTAGGTTTTTGAATACGATTTTCTTTTGGTCATCCAAAGGCTGGATAGGTTTTCGATGTTTCCACAGACTTTACAGTATTCTAGCTTTTGTATGTGACTTGTGAATATCATCTAACGACCTCTAAAATTTCGTCGTGTGTTAGAACTTTAGTTTTTGAGGACATATTTCTTTATTTATGTTCGTTTTCTTGCGTTAACTCTCGACAGAAGAAAAAATATAAGGGCGCTGGAAATGAAAAAAAATATATATATACGTATACATAAAGCTGTTATTTAGAAGCAGCCAAAAATAAAATTATAAAATACAAGCTTTAAGACAGGGGTCAACATTAATACGTAATACGCCTGGTGCCAAAATCCCGTACCTTATCTATAAAGGATTAGGAAATTCTAATCTACAACTACCTTTCACTCACAAGTTTTTAGAATTACCTACAACTAAAGCCCCCGGACAGAACTCTGAATCGAGGCTTTTGTATAATTAAGTGAGGTATCCAAGTTTCAACGAATTAAAGGGGTAACTGAGCTGAATCTTTCAAAATAGAGAGAGCCGCACTGACTCTCTTTCACAGATAGAAGATAGCTTCGTAGAACCAATTCTATTTCAAGAGAGCATGTAAACATATATAAACGGTGTGTGTTAAGAAAGTTTTAAAAACATGGATTTTGCTTCTCACTAAAATATTTATCATGAACATAACTACTACTTTTACAGTTTTTTTTTCTAATAGAGCAGGTTCGCTGTCATTCTCAATAAATCTATTCCTGATAGTCTGAAGAAATACAGTTCACCTGAACTGTTAAAGCAGATTTAGTCCCGTATCTTCAATGCCAATTTTACTAACTTTTTTAGATGAACTATCAGAACGTGTTTTTGAGATGATAATTCTATGCATATATATATATTGTATACGAGATGCTGTTTTCAACACGCTTTGCTTTTTCAATTCTTTCACTAAAGAAGAAGTGGAAATGGTTTCACATGAAACCACGAACGTTTTCTTGCCCTAGTAATAGAATGATATTTTTATTTTGCTAAATTTAGTGGAATAAAATGTGTAAGCGTTTCATTTATTAGATATATATTTTTGAATCCAACAAGATGGCAGTACTAATCCTGAAAGGGATTTAGACATAAGTTTGAATTAACTGGCAAATTTTCAAAAAATAAACACAGCTGTTTCACAGTTACGTTAACACTTGCAGAATTAAAAGGAAAGATGCTTGGTTATTAACATGTAAACAGCATTCTTCGGGTGAAATATATATTCATCAAAGCCAACTTTTTCTTTGGACGTAGATGGATAAAAGATGATTAACTATGCACTGAGATATATAGTTTGTTTTCTTTTTGTCTCTTTCTGTTGTAATTGAATCAGCTATGCGACTATCTAATCTTTTAAAGGAAGGTTTGTTTTGTTTTGAATTTTGCGCAAAGCTACACGAGGGCTATCTGCGTTAGCCGTCCCTAATTTAGTAGTGAAAGACTAGGTGGAAGGCAGCTAGTCATCTCCACCCACCGCCAACTCTTGGGCTACTCTTTTACCAACGAATAGTGGGATTGACTGTCATATTATAACGCCACCACGGCTTAAAGGGCGAGCATGTTTGGTGTGACGAGGAAGTTAAGCAGGCTTAACCTTGTCAGGTGTTTCTTGATCTGTTCATGAAGAACAGCTAGACGAATGGAATCTGGCCAATCACAGCAGAATTTAGAGACTTGGTTTGTTATGGATTTCTACTCTTTTACCAACGAATAGTGGGATTGATCGTCACATTATAACGCCCCCACAACTGAAAGGGCGAACATGTTTCGTGAGACGGGTATTCGAATCCGCGACCCTCAGATTGCGAGTCATGCCGCCCTGTAAAGGAGGGTTTTATTTGTTTGTTTGAAGTTATACACAAAGCTACACAATGGGCTATCTGTGCTCTGACCACAACGAATATCGAAACTCGGTTTCTAGCGTTGTAAGTCCGCAGACATACCGCTGTGCCACTGGGGGGCATAAAGGAATGATGTAACAATTTTATAGTAATAGTTCTTCATAGATTTTAAAGGAAATTTTAAAAATCTGAATTTAAAATAATCTACAAACGTAATGATATTTTTGTTCATGTGTTTTTAGGGAAATAACAGGTTCGCTTCATTTTCGTAAATAACGTAGCTGCGGCCTTCTTTATGCAGCCAAGGAAACTGATTTGTTCAAAACATTTTATTTAAGAGATCATCAATTCAGGGCCATAGACAGATAAACCTCCCTAAAAATTCTTCCGTTCCAACAACAACAAGGCCCGGCATGGCCAGGTGGATAAGGCGCTCGACTCGCAATCTGAGGGTCGTGGGTTCGAATCCCCGTCCCACCAAACATACTCGCCCTTTCAGCCGTGAGGGCGTTATAATGTGATGGTAAATCCCACTATTCGTTGGTAAAAGAGTAGCCCAAGAGTTGGCGGTGGGTGGTGATGACTAGCTGCCTTCCCTCTAGTCTTACACTGCTAAATTAGGGATGGCCAGCACAGATAGCCCTAGTGTAGCTTTGTGCAAAATTAAAAAACAAACAAACAAACAACAACAAAAAAAAACTGGGAAGAGACAAATAACAAAGACAATTTATTTTTTCAAAAGCGTGCCACAATTATATTTTATACTTATTTATTACATATCTGTTTTATATTGCACATAAATATATTTCAAGTATTATATTTTACTGTACTACCATGGGGCTTCCATATCAAAATTGTTAAAAAATCAGAGTTCCTTTTTTTTTTTTCAGTAAAAGTTTGTTTGTTTGTTTT